AGCTATTTACTGGACATCTTCAGCTCACTACTGTGCACAAGGACGGATGACAGTGTGGTGACATCATGCTGTGGCATAAAGCAGGCATTGTAGCGCTGTGTGTGCACCATTCTCTATCCATGCAATCTCCACAGCCAGCGTAGCTTCACAGCAGTCTGCTTCTGACTAAGACAAACGTGCAGCAGAACAGAAGACAAGAAGGATAACTCATTCTGAGTCTCAAAGCTTGTTTTGTCTAGAAATAATGTGAAACAGTGCTAACACAGACAGGTAGGCTGCACTGAGCCTGAGGAGGCCCTAGCTTCATAACATATCTTACATCTGTCCATCTTTAGGCTCTACTGTGCTGAAGAACAGTGATATATAATGTTTGTGTTTGAGCTTTTTTTTAATTATCATGATATGAAATATTTTTCTTAGACTGAATAAAATAATAAAAAGTTAAAAATAAGAACAATCCAGTGTGAAAACTCTGAATCTTTATTTTTATTCCAGGGGCTTCGTACTTGGGTTTCCTTCTTAGTTTCGTGAGTCAGCTGTAACTGCTGTGAGCAGGTAACTACACGACAAACACGCTCGTAACTCGGCTGACACGTTTTAAAGCGAGGAACTGTCAGCCGAAGCCAAACAGAAGCTTCAAAGCGTGACTCATCTCTCCCGTTAAAAGCATTGTTTGAGGTTTAGGAAAGCAGGAAAAGGATGGACGGGAGAGGAAAGGGACTGAAACGTGTTCTTCTTCCCCCAAAGGCACTAAAGAGAAAAAGTGGTTACAAAAACTTGTTACTGAAAAAACTTTCTTTTCTCATGTTTCTGTTTATTTGTAATATGTGTGAGTGAAGCCTGCAGATTCCTGCATTCCTCCCTGCTCCTGTAATTACTCCCACTTTGGTCTTTCTGCTTTCTTTTGGAGGAAAACTAAACACATTTCCAAATTACACCCTGCGCTGCTTGTGGTGTAGCGTGACTTCAAATGCGGTCTTCACCAAACAAGCACCTGTCTCACCCGTGAAGATGACCTGTAGCACAAACAACATGACATCTGCAGCTTTGGACCGAGCCACACAAGCTGAGTGTGCGTATCTCACAAACCCTCGCTGAGAGACCAAATACAGTCACAGTAATTAATTTTTAATTGTACTGCTAATCTATTTGCTGTTTAATTAAAAGGCAGTGCATTGCTGGCTGATCTCAGAGCCGTGATTTAATGCAGAGTGGGAAACAGCAGAAAAGGTAAAATCCTCTCCACAGTTGGTGATACACTCAGCTGAGCGTGTCATTACATGCTGGAGCGGCTGAGCAATGCTGCGCAGACAGGAAAACAGTCACATGGCTCACAGCGTAATGCAGACATGCTCACCTGTGTGCTCCAATAACCTGCACATACAGCAGAAGGCCGAGTGCAGAGGATCAGCTGTGACCCGTGTGGAGTGAGACAGAAACACCACAGCTGACTTTGTCTTCATCTTAATTTTAGAATCACATTTCCATTAAATCGTGTTTCAAACATGTGAAACTCTTATAATCGTATTAACTGAAGCCACACCCAACCCGTGTCCATAGATGAGGCAGGGTTTCTTATCATGCACTAATCATCTACAGAAATCAAAGAATGACTGACTTGCATTTAAGCTTTTAAACACAGATTTAACACAGACCAATCAAAAATGTGCAACACTGAGAGCTCGGCAAGAGGTTTGCAGCCGAGTCTTGTAGTGCGCACTTAAAGACAAGTGGCATTCCACACACAGGCTGAAAGTCATAAACAAAGCCTCGGGGGGGCGGGTGCTGGGAGAGACAGGCGCTACGGGTGTCTGAGCTTTGCTCTGCAGCTCTGGGCAGAGCATCCTTCTGTTCGGATTACTGAACACAAGATCTGCAAAGAGAGGCCCAGCAGTCTTAACAAAGTACTGTAAGATGTTTGTGAGGACGCTCAGGGCGCTGCAGCTCTTCATGACCAGAATTCAAGAGTAACAGCAGAGTTAAAAGGAGGCGTCTGCTTCTCACATAGATCACTCTCATTAACACACTTACTTATACTTTGAACCACACGGTAAAAGATAAAGTGATGAGCATCCAGTAGAGCACCGCGGCTCACACAGTATGTGGGCCTCGACAACACCACCCACTCCAACCACAAACTTGGAGTCCTGACTGCTGGCAAGTTGAAAGCTCAGATCAGATCTGGGACTAGGGCTGCCACGATTAGTCGACTAGTCACGATTACGTCGACTATCAAAATCGTTGACGACTAATTTAATAGTCGACGCGTCGTTTGAAGCTTTGTAAGATCACAAAAGACGCAGGAATAAGTAGTAGGATTTAAGAGTGTAATAACGGACTGAAACAGAAGATGGCAGCACTGCATGTACAAGGATGCCACCTGCCGTTAAACCCCGAAGAAGAAGAAGCTGTGTCCCAGAATTCATAGCGCAGCCCAGCTCAGTTTCCAACAATGGCGGCAGCTAGTTAGTTTTAATATTACTCTTATTATTCTTTCTGGGTCACAAAATAAACGTTTAACATATTTTCAGGCGAGAATGTAGCTGTGTAAACCTCAAATATCTGCTCAGTTTATCAAGACACCACATATTTTCAAAAGCGCTCCGACGTTTTCGGAGACGTCTGTTACCCACTAGCTCGATAGCTAGCCGGGGGCTAGGCTAACTAGAGCCGTGAGAACACCGGACTCCCGGCAAATAGTTTTCAAACCCACCGTCGTCTTTCGCTACTCAGGTTAAACATGATATATAAGTCACTTAGCTAACTTAAAAATGTTATTGTTTGGCTTTTTTAGTATTTTATTTGTTCCTGAGTAAATCGGTTTGGCTGAGATTAAAGTTATAGTTTTTACACAGCTGAATAAACATCAAGCAGACAGCTGATTATCAGAAGTGTGAGATGCTCGAGAATTTACTCCGGTGTCCTGTTATATTTTAGATAGCAAGGAGTTTATTAAACTTCACCGAAACAATCTACAAATGTCAATAAAATTTAATAAACTATCATCTTGTCTTTATTTTTAGTTAGCACATACCTTAAACACTTAAAGCTGTAAGCTAATGATAGTTATATAAGAGCAGATGCTGCTGGTGCAATAAGCTGTACGTTTTACGTCCAATGGATGATGATCTGATTAGTCGACTATCAAAATAATCGTTTGTGGCAGCCCTATCTGGACCGAAGGAAATTCACAGGCACATATATCACTACCACAGTAAAGCAAGCAGTCCTCCCTACTGCTCACATGGCCCACCGTTTACTCCTCTCCAATGAATACAACCTCTCCTCACAGCACTGCAGGATAAAACCCACACAGAACACAAGAAGATAAGTCTGCTCCCCGTCAGCTACTACTTATAATTACAATGCAGCGGCGGTCGATTGTAGGGAGTACACTTCAATAATCAGATGCACGCGGCCGCAGGACTTTCATCTGATTACAGACGTGATTTATTGGGCTTGCCATAATGATGCATCACCCCACCATACAGTATGTATGAAGCGGCCTTTTGCAGGCAGATTCTGTTTTTAATAATACAAAAAGCAAACACTGACATGACCCTGCCAGCCTGGGAATCACTCAGCAAAATAAAAGACTGCATTATATTTCAAACGTGGTGTCCATTTGAAGACAGAGACCATAAAGTCTTGGCTGTCACTCGTAACTGGTCTCCACCCACCCAGCGAGCCACACCAAAGCTCCGAGAAGCCAACATGTCACCAGAAACACTATTTAGTGAGCGGTGATGAGCAGCCACTCTAAGGCGCCTTTGTTAACTGGCTGGATTTCAGCTCTGAAGGAATGTTAATGTGAATAAAGCAGCTCAATCAGATTACAATAAACGACCACAGGAAACCACACCACTCCTGATCATCAGTGGGCTATGCATGGACTTGAAAAGGGTGGAAACAGTTCCCAAAGCCAAGAATATGAGTGACTCTTAGCTTTACTCATCCCTGGGCAGAGTCCTGAGCTACAGCTCATCTCACAGAGCACGGTGCTGTCGCACAAAGGAGGGTAAAGCTCCCTGACAAGCCGGCGCTGTGTCATCTTCTCTCGTCCACCTGCACCAGAGCAGTGGCCTTTCTTTCCCAGCTGTTGGCGAGCTATGCTGCTAATCCACGTCCCGTCTCGGTGGATGTTTGGCCGAGTTGTGGGTGGACAGTGACTCCATTAACTGCCATTCTAAAAATGAATGGTATGCTCCTCTGCACGACCCCCAAGCTCAGTCACGGTAAACAGTAGCTGCTATTGGCAAAGCGGCGTTACAGGCTGCCCTGTCACAGTTACCTAACTAATTCCTGGTATTTCTCCATTAAAACGCACCTGTGTTCACAGACTGCTCCGAGCACAGGTGACATCACTGAAGCTCTGTGTTCTCATGTTTGTGGCAAAGCTGGCTGTGATCAATAAAAGCATCTTCATAAAGGACTACGTGATGTACACGACATTAAGTGACAGCAGGCAGTTTAAGCACAGTAAAAACAGCCCACACTGGTGGAGCTATTAAGCATCTGTATTTACAGGCAGGCCTCTCCAGTTATTTGCCAAACAAATTACCAGTGGAGACTCTTGTGTGCAAGCATGTGCATGTGTGAGCCTTTCTTCCACCTCACCCTCGTCCTGGCTGAATGAACTGGACGTGCACGACACTGGACAATACAAGCAGTGATCAAAGCGTTCTTTGTATTTCTAACCATCGTTGGAGATCTACCAAACCTCGGAGGGTTCCTTGAGGAACTTCACTTTTGTAGTGCAGATAGGCACCTAATAAACCTACCAAAGGCCAAACAGATGAATTAAACGGAGGTTTCACAGCCTGCTCACACCAATCTTCCACTTGGCTGAAGCTGTGCAGGGCTTTGGCTGAGGAATGCTATGCATGACTACTTGGATTTGTAGTCGGCCGCTGCAGCTCTGATTTATCCAGTTATGAATGATTTTTCGGAGTGTCAACTCCACGGGTGGTGCAGTGTTTTCAGTCTACATTTTTGTGTTCATAAAGCTGTTTGTGATCAGTCCTAAAACAGCAGTAAGATCAAAGTAAGAAGAAGAAACGGCCGCTCAGAAACTTGGTGAATTCTTAAACACAGAGGAGAGTTTGTTGATGTGATTCTTGTTCTTAAAGCAGATCGTTTCCGGATTAGGGTGCACTAATTGGCATAATTGCGCACAAAAGGCGCATTAGTGACTGTGTTATTGCAGGTATCTGACAGGGTTTGGGATCTTCTCCGTGGAAACTGACACGCCACGTTATAGCCAACATCTTCCAACACACAGTTTCTGCTTCAGGCTGACATCACTGCTCCCTTCACCTCACAGTTATCGGGACACATTTGTCAGGGTTATTCAGAACTTTGTGAAAAACCTACAAATGACCTCAACTTACCGTTCTGTGACGTGCTCCCAGGTGAATGACGTAATCCTTTCACAGCAAGCGTTAAACGCAAAACATTTCAGACTCCCGCACAACTTCAAACCTATCAAAACATCCACTTCTCGTCCTTTTTACTTCTCTCCCTTCGGTGCAAGCTGACTTCATCCATGAAAACCCTCTCACCCCCCGTCTCAGACGCTGATTGGCCGCCACGGTGCTACTACGGGCTCTGATTGGCTGCGTAGAACGCCAATCAAACCTCCGCCGTCTTCTCCGGATTTTATGGGAAAGAAGTTCGAGCAAAGCGGACACGTGACGTGTGAGGTGGCTCCCTCCTCACAGCTGTCCGGAGATGATGTTGAAGGAAGTTTTTAGCTTATCCGTAAAACCTGAACGGAAAACAACGAAGGAGGGATTTTTGTCCCGGGGAGGCACCGATGTCCACGCTGATGAAGAGGCTGGACTGCTGCTTCACGCGTGATTTACAGGATAGACACATAAAGTTAGAATATTGAAATCTGTGCTTTTAACGCTGAAACTTTCACTTTTTTTAAGGAAAAATGTTTTTAAGCATTTTTTATAGATCCTTAAAAAATCCTGAGTAATTTCTCGTTTCTCTGACGGAGCTTTTTGTTTTCATGTCTTAACT